GATGGAGTTTTGTAATTATGGGTTTTGTACCCTATCCCTTCCCTTATAAAATTCTCATTAGTATTACCATTAACTACAGTTCAAAAAATATATGTGAAAATAATTAATATAAGTGAAGAGGGGTAAGAAAAGCTCTGAAAAGATAGGAGTTGCGCGGGTTTTGTATTGACAACGAACTAGGATTTTCGTCCTATCGTTTCCCACGTCGCCGGTGATTATGATGCTGGCCAAGGGAGGTCCTGGCACTACTAAGCAAGCGTAGTCGATGGCCGGCCAATGAACAAGAACGTTCTTTTGGCTAGTGATCCACACTGGGCTGCTCACTAACCCGAGAGATTTAGACACCACTTAGCTCAGTATGATGTATGCCCTAATTGTTGAGATGGCCCGGAAATGATGATCCACATGATTCAAGATTGCTCCTATGCTTGGGTGGTTTGGTCAGAAGTGCTGTGGGAAGAACCAAATCAAGATTTCTTTGAGGCGGATACAAACAAGTGGGCTCTTCATTTCTTGGTGGGGCATAGTGTAGTTATTGATGCATCTAAGTTTGCTAACCTCTGGTGAAACCTTTGTAAACACAGAAACTCATGGGTCTTTGAGAAGCAGTTGGCTCGCCAAATGGAGGAGATGCGACATCAAAGCCTACTTGCCCTCAACAAGGCGCAACAGATTACGAGTAAGAGCAGGGACAAAATAACAAGCTTTATTGGCAAAGACCACCCCTAGGTTGTGATAGAAACCTAATTTCTAGATTCTATCATAATTTTCAACTATTATTAGGATTTTATTAGATATAGTAAGTAGTTTTTGAGTCATATATATTAGGATAGTCTATTAAGTTCTCCTAGTCTTAGCTATAAATATGTCATTTGGGTCTTTTGTTCGTTTAAGCAGAAATCAATAAAAGAATTATCTTCCCAAACCCTAAGCTCTCTCTATCTCCTAATTTTCCTTCTTCCCTAATCCAAGGCTTCGTCCGATTCTTATTCTTTTCTTCTTTCTTCCCCAAATTCTCAATCTCAATCCCCAATCCTATCTCCAAATCTCTAAATTCCCAATTACCCAACATGTGGATTTGACTTGAATCGGACTATCAACCGCTACCATATTGGATTAGGGTTAGACCTAGGAGAAGTATTGTAAATACATCTCATACTTCTCTGTAATTTGTATCTCCTTGAAGTATAGTGAAACTGGCTTTGTCTTGCCTGTGGACTAGCTAATACAGATTGTGTTAGTGAACCACGTAAATCATGTGTCGTGTGTGTGTGCGTTTTTTTTTCCTTGCATTGTCGAATCGTCCTATTTCCCGATCCGCAGAGAAACACTAATGACACAACACTATCGATAGAATCCTAGAAATTGGTTTCTATCAGGCTGGTTTGCACTGAACACAGATGGTTCCATGATAGCATCAACAGGAAGTGCTACGGCTGAAGGAATTATACGAGGCAACGATGGTCTGTTCATTAAGGCCTCTACAGTTAACTTGGGCAAAGGCTCGATAACACATGCCAAATTGGCCAAGATTGTCCATGGTCTTCACATTACTTGGGAATTGGGTGCATGCAAAGTTTGTCTACATACTGATTTGATGACGAAGACCTCTCTCATATAGTTGGATCGATGTAGCCATCCACACTACACGACGATTTCATCTATCCGGCGTCTGCTGGCCCAGGATTGGGAACTGCTAATTTTATGAATTTTGTCGGTCATTCTTTATCTATTGAGATTCGCTTGTTGGATATCCCGGTACCTAGTTTGAGATATTGGTTGTTGTTTGATTCGATTGGCGTTCAAACTCCCTGCATTATTAATGGATAACGATTAGAGCGCTCCTCTACATTTTGCTTCTAAAAACACAATATATTTGCTTCGATCAAAAATCCATTTTTAGCTTTTTTAGGGGGAAATGGTAACAATAAATTAAAAAAAAGATAAGGAAAAATGTGTGATTCTTAAAGTTGCGGTGGTGGCTCTAAGACTGACTTTGAGGAGACTTTTTTACAAAAATCCCTTTTTTACAAAATCCTTAATATATTTGCAGAGATAATTTTTATGATGGTAAAGTTTCAATAGGGTTAATAGCAAATTTTCCAATCTACTATGGTATTTTATCAAATCTACTTCATTATTTTTTTTACGTTAAACTTGTTCTCCTATTATATTCGAGTTCCAAAACCTATCTTCTGTTACATTTCCCATTTGAAGACCGTTAAATAGGGTTCAATCGTGGTTTGACCAATTTGAAACTACTAAATTTTCGTTAATAATAGGGTTATATGTATAATATGCCCCTCTACTATATCATTTTATCAAACATGTCCCTCTACTATTTCTTACATCAAACATGCCCTTATACTTTGAGAAAATGATCAAACATGCCCTTCTGTTAAAATTCTCATTGAAAAAATCATCAATCATGGTTGAACCGAGATTTAGACGACCCGACATCGGCAAATGGGAGGGAAATTTTTCAGTTTGTCCCCTATTTTATTTCCCGGGTCTAGTTAAAGTGAAATTATAAGAATCATTTGGCTATACAAAAGAACCAAACAAAATTCTAAATTGAAATTATTAAGGATATTTTAGACATTTGTGTCTCCCAAACCAAAGTTTGATCGTGGTTAACGGTTTTTGGATGAAAATTTGAACATAAGGGCATGTTTGATAATTTTTTCAAAGTACAAGGGCATGTTTAATGTAAAAAATACTAGAGGGGCACATTTGATAAAATGACATAGTAGAGGGGCATTTTATACCTATAACCCTTAATAATATTTTATGCTAAACAAAATAATTGTAAAAACAAGTTATTAAAATTTTTATATGTATTGAGCTATGATTATATGAATTCGTGAGCTATGTTCTTGTCATTAAATGTTGAGAAGTTATTAAAAATTTAAGGTAAAATACACTTGTATAGCCATAACTTTCACGTTTTTGACAAATATAGTCATAACTATTCGAAAACACAAAATAGCCAATTCCGTTCATTTTGTTAACGACGTAAGTTGACGATATGACTGGACTAACGGTTGACTTTGAGTTGGCGATAGATTTGCCCAACCAACCGACGTGGATTAACAAAAATAAATAAATAAAAAATTACAGAGCACTAATTCCCCACCACCACTGCAAATAAAAATAAATTAATTAAAAAAGAGAGAGAGCGCCATCATCCCCCACCCCTTTCTCAGCACCCTTCTCGTAACTCCCCGAGCTTCGGCGACGCCTTATCACACCATTCCATCCGCCACTCCATCCAGGTAAAAATCGGGTTGCCAGACATATTCACTCTTCCCTGTCCAATTTCGTCGCCGCCATTGAAATCCCCAATTCCGATTGACCCAATTTTAGTCTCCAATTTAAGTTTCCTCTTCAAATCTCCCCAGTTGTCGAGTGAAGGAGAGGCGGATGCTGGCTTTCCAGATCCACAAGTTAGTGAGGGAAAGTCAATAATTCCCCCAGTGGCGGACCTAGGAATTTTGAGTAGGGGTGTCCGCTTTCAAAATAAAATTAAAAATAAAATAAAATAATTCTTAAATAAGAAAAGTATCCGAATAATATTCAACAACACAAATATTTGGTTAATACAAGTTACAACAAAATTCCACGTCGTGTTTTCATATTCTGAAAATATTCTAAAATACACTCCGTGTCTACAGTATTCAGCAAATCTCTTTCAATATATCCTACGAGACAATCATTCACAAACTGATCGCCTAGTCGATTCCGAAGCTTGTTTTTTATGTAACTCAAAGCTGAAAATGCTCTTTCAACACTTGCAGTTGCAACCGGTAAAGTCAATACAACTTTGAGAAGCAAATATACCCATGGATATGATAGATTCACTTTTGTCTTCACCATCAGCTGACACAATTCATCAATTCCTTTTAATCCATGGAATAACTCATCATTCTTCACAGAATGATAGTAATTCTCAAAGTCCCTTAGAAGAAAAGAGTCAGAAAGATGACCAAAATCTGTAGGATAAAATCGAGTAAGACTAACCAGCTTCTCCCTGTCAAAAGCAGCAAACTCATTCTCCGGGCTAAGAGAAGCCATACAAGTCAACAACCTAGTATTCACCTCATCAAAACGGTTGTTCAACTCTTGCAGCTGCATATCAAGAACAGAGTAATACAATTCAACCTGATAGTGATGCAAGTTTGTGATCTGTGGAGCCTTGCGCCTTGACCTTCCTGGAAGAACATACTCATCATCCATGCCAAGAACATGAACAGATTCCTTAGTGCAAAACAAGATAACATCCTCAATTAGAGACTCCCATCCTCGATCTCTCATCTCTTGTAATCTAGTTTTTCCCACACGAACAAGTTTCATAGCATTTACAATGTCTTGATCTCTCCTTTGCAATGCTAGTGACAACTCATTCGTAATTGCTAACACTTCAATCATCAACTTCCAAATGGAGACAAACCTGAAATCTTGAATTGTAATCAACATCCGCCATGCATGACTCGCTGTTTTTGGTTCTGTACTTGGATCATCCTCGATTCTCTCCAACACATTAATAATAGTAGAGAACAAGTGCTCAAAATTGAGAAGTGCACCATAATAAGAACCCCAACGAGTATCACCTGGCCTTTTGAGACTCATTTCTTGATTCAGTCCTTGTCCAGTTTCTTGTTCATTAGCAGCTATAGCCTCCGCAAGCTTTCTAGTTTGGCTATCTCGAACCATGTCAGCTCGTTTGCAAGATCCTGCAACCAAACTAGTCACACTATTGACAGTTGTGAAAAAGTCACCAACTTCTTTGTGATTTTCTGCTACAGTAACAAGTGCTAATTGAAGTTGATGAGCAAAGCAGTGAATGTAGTAATATGCCGAAGAATTTTCAGCCAAGATCAAGGTCTTCAAACCATTTATTTCCCCTTTCATGGTGCTAGCTCCATCATAGCCTTGTCCCCTTATCATTGACATGCTCAATCCATGTTTCAAAAGCATTGCTTCGATTTCCTTCTTCAATGTCAAAGCTTTAGTATTTCGCACATGAGAAGTACAAAGAAATCTTCCATAACACAACCATCAGAATTCACATAACGCAAAACAATAGCCATATGCTCTTTCATTGATATATCACGAGTCTCATCAACCAATATGCAGAAAAAATTATTCCCAATCTCTGCAATGATTTTCTTAGTCGTTTCACAAGCCATGGCATGAATAAGATCTCTTTGAATCTTTGGAGAGGTGAGTTGGAGATTCTTTGGAGCATTCCTCCCAACCACTCTTTGCACATCTTCTCTACCAAGAGCATGGAAATCTAATAGCTGAAGAAAGTTACCTTTGTTACTTGAAGTTGCAGATTCATCATGCCCTCGAAATGATAATCCATTCACTACTAGCCACCTTATGCAATCAAGTGAAGCAACCAAACGAATTCGATAATCTCTTTTGGCTTGATCTGATTGTCTAAATAATGCAGCTTCAATTCCTTTTGCTTGCTTCAATAAAAGATCTGAACTGTTTTTAGCTCTATTGTGGTAGCTGTTATGCTCCCCAACATGATCATCAAAAACTTTCAATTTATTCCATGTTCTAAATCCTTCACCAATAAAGCCATCATTACTCCCACCTCGCTTACTGAACACATAGCAATATAGACAATAAGCAGCATCTTTTGAGACACTATATTCAAGCCAATTATACTTCTTAAACCAAGAAGCCTGGAATCTATGCTGCCTTCCACTGAAGTTTCTGGCAGGAAAAGCATGACTCTTTGGTTGAATAGGACCTTTTTGAAGATAAAATCTTCTAACCTGGTCACGGACATTGGGATGAAAGCTAGATATCTTAGTTCTTAATGCCGGATCTAGCACCAAAGAGTTTTCATCAAACTCTTCATCTGACTCTGCTGAGAAAGACTCACTTTCTTCTGGAGTTCGATTGACTGAACCTGAAAGATTTGGTTCTTGTATTTGAGGAGCTCCCACTGTTGACGAAGGAGGAAAGGTTTGAGCTTGTCTACTCCCACTAGCTTCAACACCTTCAGTTTGAACATTAGGAGTAGATTGGACCTGTCTTGAGTAGTATCTTTCCATTGGTACCTGATCTAGCATAGAATGTACATAAAATTAGAATTGAAATTCCACTGTAAAACTACCGCTACTTTCCCCACCCAAAAGTTATGCTTCCCAAATCAGATTGGAATTCCCCACCCAAAGTTATGCTTCCCCACTGTAAAACTGCTGCTTAACAATTGGAATTAACAATTGAAAAGGCGATCCTAATCTTTGTATACTTGTATTGCTACTTTCTTTATCAAACCATGAATCATCAATTGTTGTATACTTATATGTCGAAAAGCAGGGGTTAGTTCTGTTCTCTTCAATTCCTAATGTTTTACTTTGGTCAGGCAAACTTGTAAAAGCTTCTGAGCGAGATTGTAAAGCTTGTCTACTCCCACTAGTTCTTAATTCCAAGGCTTGCTCACATATCTCAGCAACAACTTGTCTACTCCCACTCTCCCACTCTCCCACTAGTTCTTAATTCCATGATCATCCATGAATTTTGGCAGCAAGTTCAAGCTTACCGTCAGGGGAAGTTGCAGCGGCCAGCGGTTGAAATGGAGGAGGACTCAACGGACAGAGGAGACCGACGAACAAGGACGAGGCCGACGCAGGGCGAGGCCGGCGGATGACGGCGAGGCCAGCGGAGGAGGGCGAGGCCAGCGGAGGAGGGCGAGGACGGCGGAGGAGGGCGAGGTGGCTTAGCGGCGCGACATTGAAGTGGAAGCAGCCGCAGAGTTCTATTTTTTGCGAAGATGAATGGGAGTCGTGTTTAGTTTTAGGGTTTTGTTGTCAAATTGTGGATAAAATTAATATGTTTATAACTATCCGTATCTTAAAATTATAGCAAGAAATGAGTTGTAGTATGATGGAAAACATGTTAGCTAATAACTATGGTGTCCCAGGTTCAAATCCCATAAGCCATTATATTTTTTTTTCTTTTTTTCCCTACGCTCAAACTACTACAGGGGGTTCAATAAATTTTCTCCGAGATTTTAGGGGTGTCCGGGGACACCCCCAATCCTCCCTGGGTCCGCCCCTGAATTCCCCACCACCACGACGAGTTGATTCGGAGCTACGATCCGCTCGAATTGATGAAGTTGGAGTTCCTGGCGGAGGAGTTGCTATTCGTGCTAGTGAGCCCCGAATTCAAGGCGCCGACGAAAAAGATGAGGGCGGCGCTGCCGCTGGAGTTTGGGATGTCGCATCGTGTGTGGAATTGTAGCCAGGCAGGAGCCACAGCCATCGTCGGTCGCTTCGGCACCTCACAACCACACGAATCTCTCCCCTCCTCCAACCTCATCCATTTCCCTTCCAAGCCCTTCTTCTTCTTCTTCAAACTCTGTTCTGGAAGAAGATCCTTCTCCTGCTTGTCCTCCTCCTCTCCATGTCATGAATTAGTTGATCCCAATAGCTCGAGTTGTTGGGAGAAGGTTATACTGGATCTTATACCACTCTCTAACACTCCAAGGTGTTGATTCCAACTCTCTCCTGTGGCGGCCGGAATGGTGCTGGAGCTTTTGCCCGGTCGGAGGGAGATTCAAACAGCAGGGCAAATGGGAGATTCATCGGAGGGAAATGCTTTCTTGCAAAAGCCTCGGTGGCGATTGATTTTTATGGACAGGGAGATGGTATTTGTGGACGGGGAGATGGTGGTGGCAGCGAAGGACATGGATGGGGTGGCGATGAGATAGAGGGAAGGTTGGGGTAGGTATGGACAACAGGTTGTGGGTAGAAAGGAGGAAGCTCAATTTTTTTATTTTATAATTTTTTTAATTTGTGAAAAAATTGGTTTTTTTATTTTAATAAATCAAAATGACGTGGCAATAATATGTTGACTGGTCGGTGAAGTGTGCGATGGTTTGGCATCCTAGTCACCTTAACGTTAACCTAACTGACGGAGTTTCTAATACCGTTAATGTAACACCCTACCCTATACGTATTACCTAATCATATTGTTCATACAATTGCAGTGGAAATAATCTCGGGTGTTACATTAATTATCAAAATTTACCCAAATAAAATTTCGACATGAATTACTCGCGTAATGGGCTAACAGTTCTTCCATCTGATCCTGCAAAATAATTCATCTAAATCCATGCATTCATAGACAAACATATACACTCACTGCCATATGCATTGGCTTTTCATAGCCATAGTCACAGTTTCATACTCCACAACTGCATACCTTACTAATACATATCATAGTCGTCATAACTTACACAACCACATAAATATACACATATCATCAACTTTCCACACATGTGGATATATCACACTACATCAGAAGCTAGTATGCACATGAAAAACGTTCTCAAAACATTTTTACAAAAAGGTGTGGATCACTGGCCAAAATCCCGAGTAGTAGTCCAAGCACAGAATAGTTGAAGACCATACCTCATCCCGGCTTCAACTCTAGCTCCTCTCCCACCTAACACTTATCTACTGCTGTTGTTGATGATTTGCTTACACATAGCATAAGCAGAGAAGAAGAATAAAAGAGGGTCAGCTCATAGCTGAGTGAGATAATCATAGCATCGTGAGTTCATAACAGAGCATACCCCTACCATACATCTAGCAAACAAGCCAAAACACTAGGATCGGACCTCAGCCATCCTCATGTCCCAATGGGCAAAAGACTCAACCACCTTGACTTATGCATATGCATCTTATCATGTTTTAATCATAGGCGCCTGGCTACTCCCATGCTAATAACTCTCCCGGGAAACCTACCCCACATCCCGTCGGATGTAGTCATACATACCCCAACATCCCATCGGATGTGGTCATACATACCCCACACCACTATGGGTGTAGTCATACCCCGACACCGCTCTGGGTGTGGTCATATCTCGTAAGAATTCTTCAGTCACCACCACATGAGAGGTGTGACTATCATACATATCATAATAGAGTAATAGCATAGGGAGCCCTAATTACTATGTAGTTGACCGTGAGACCACAACACTCATATTTGGTATCCTTATACATGATTCATATCTCATCTTGCTTAATCATAATTCGTTACTTGCACATGTACTTGACTTGGCCATAATTGGCTCAACATAGGTAAATCAGGAGTCGTATAATTGCACTTCCTCGGGATAAACCCTCGTGCAAGTCATCCTCCTTAAACATCATAATATCACCAGGAGATATATATTTTCCCACTTGTACATCCAAATACATCAATCATGAAATGTCATACCCAATCACCTTTTCGAACCATCATAAGGCATATCAACAGTCAAGCCCACAATTTGCAACATATACGAAATCATCAGCATAAACATGGCCCATATCAGCTAGGGCAAGTCAATAATATCATACAACAATCAATGGTTCATCATATAGCATAAAAGTTCATACACCCCTAATCATGCCATTCTAGTTCACCTAGGTCAATTCTAAGCATCAATATAATTATCGTGATACGACAAACCCGGTATGCCGTGCCAATCCCTCACCAGTTCTGGTCGTTCAAACACCGATTTAACCTCCCCGTACTAAAACGTCAATTTCACGAACGAACCCCGAATTAAAATCCGAGACCTTCCTAATATCCCCTGCAGTATCCCCGTCAATATTAGTTATAGGCTCCGGGTCAAAATCTCGATAAAAACACATCAAACCCTGGCCGGAGCTAAATTCAGCGATTAGGACCCCGACCTAAATAATTGCCGAAATTCAGGGATTAGAACTAGAAGATTGATTACCTCGCTGCAGGAAGCTCGTATATGAAATTTGGGCTCAATCCGGCTTCCGGATACTCCGAAACCCTAATTTGGCTTATCGGGAATTCAAGAAATTCCTGAACCAAAAACTCGTTTTAAAGCTCTAAATCGATAAATAACGATGAATGGATGGATTAGGCATAACTTACGGGATTTTTGGATCACTAGGGCTCAAGATTGGAGCTTTTGAATTTTTACCCAGTCGCTCCCCTGCACTTCGCTCGCTCTGCTTCTCTCTCGGTCCGAAAGTGAAAAGAAGATGAAGATGGGGAAAATTAAATGAAACGGTGATGGGGAATTAAATGGAAAGGGATATATATATATATAATTAATACGTATACTTATCCGATCGATTGATAATCCGATTTTCGTCGAAATACTGTCAAAATGCTCGATTCTAAATCGCGAACTTTCTAGCGATCGAAATATGGGTTTTGCCGTAACGGGATGTTACAGTTAAAGTTTCTAACGGAAATGGCTAGATTTGTCACATGACCATCCAATTTTTAGGCTACTTTGTGTTTTCGGATAGTTATCACTATATTTGTCACAAACGTGAAAATTATGGCTATACAATTGTATTTTGCCAAAATTTAACTGAAGTGAGAAAGTGTTGTAGATTATTATTTCATTCATCGTGCAGTGTGAATAGGTATTTGTCTTAAAACGCCTATGCATGCTTAGTCTACGCCTAAGCGAGCTAAGTGCTAGGCAAAGTCTCAACGCACGCTTTACGCCTAGCGCCTTCTTGAACCTTGATCTACAAAGAAAAATAGCCACTTTTCACGGGATTAAGATAAGAAGAAGAATGTATAGGCGGCGAATCGCCCGGCCGAACGCGTCCAAGAACGAAAGAGAGAGTGAGAGACGGTCAAACACCTGGTGCGTGGAAGGCGGAGAGCTGTGCGTTCTGTGTCTTCCATAGTTGAGCTGCAGAGGAAGATCGAACGGACCAAGGGACAGAGACTGAATTTTTTTTAATCGAAATAATTATTTCACTTGGCTCTGCCCTTTTCATTTTTACTAGCATGGGCCCCGGCCATTTGCCCGGATGAAGGTGAGGTATGAAATTTGATAATGTAATGGGGTGTATAGCTTATTGTTGTATAGTTTTTTTTTGGGAAACACGTGATAAAAATAGTGAATTTTAGTAGGAAAGAGACATGAATGATGCAACGAATCAAAAATCAGTCTTATGAACCAAAATCAAGTACATGTTACCTTGTGAAACAATATTGTTTCTGGTAATATGATGAGGTGGAGTAAGTTTTATAGAAACACAATTTCAGAAAATCGAATAAAAAATCGCATATCCCGCCGGTTTTCGAGAAATGAGCATCTCACAATCGTTGTTAGCTTTTACTCGGCCCGTTGGCCGATTAATTTGCTTTATAAAACTTTCATCTTGTCATCATTGTGCTTTCTGATTTTTTGCCAAGCCATGATAAAATCTAAAGAAATCAAGAATGAACAACACGATTTGGGATAGGAACCAGTGAACAACACTTGCCAAACTGGTTTGGATTGAGATTTTTATCGGGTATCACAGAACCATGTGATTATAAATTAGACTTGATCAAAACGAGCCAAAACTTGAAATTCAGCCTGTTTGACCGACCCATGCCAAACTCTAATTATTCTTTACTTTTAAACTTTCTATTTGAAAATAAAAAATAATTAAAGAAAAGAGATGACTGCAACTCGCCATTTGTACATCACTGATTCAGGAATAAAACTATAGAATTTCGAAAGGAAACTGAAATTGATTAGGATCGTTTTAATGTTAAAAATAACCAAATAGATCTTTTTGTTTAGTTTTTTTACTAACAAATACCAAACGATTCCCTATAATATACACTATAATTTAATCATTATGATATCAAATAATTACATAATATATATTTGAAATGATAAAAATTGGACTAATTGAGTTGGTCGAGGTTGAACCATTGAATAACTTTAAAATACATTATATTTTAGCCACTAAGATATAAAATAATATCATAATATATATTATGATAGAGAAAATAGCTTGTTTTAGAATGGCAAACCCATGATGTTCATTTGTTTTACTTGATGGGCAAATCCCGTGTAGGTCAGGCCCATTCAACTCTTTTATTTTATGATTAGAGGTTAGCCCATTAGAATCCATGCATTAGTTTATTGTTAATTTTTTTCTTTTTAGCAATAAAAATGAGTATTGTTTTTGCCTTTTCATATATATTTTACCACCACGGAAATATAAAAACTTAAAAAAAATTGACACTCCTGGACCCGTTTAAACTTTAAATCCGCATGTGTACGGTAAGCTGACCCGTTCCACAGAGGAAAAAGAAAAAAATTGACACTATCTATTCTACCCTTCCTACAAACGCTCCTAGAGCAGGGAATTTGAAATGGGGAAAGAGTTTTTTTCTCTCTGCGATTATATGTTTTTAATTTAAAAAGATAGAACAAATGTAATTAGTGTGATTGGTTATGATCTTTGCTTTACTTTAAAGTGGTCATAGTTCGAATCCTAGTAAGTGTCTTGTTAATGAATAAAAAAATTAATTGTGAAGACTAAAATATCCTTCCTATTTTCACTTTGGATGCGGAAAATTTGAAATGGGGCTTCAAGTTTTCTCATTTGGCTTTTATTTATTGTGTAGATGTCCCTTCTCTAACTTCATTTTCATTTCCCTTGACGTCGACGCCAATTCAATCCCAGCAAACAAAAGCATCACCCCAAAATAGCAATAGAAAACTGATTAAGACACATGATAAACGAGCTCCCAAACACCAATCTAATTGCCAATTAAGGGTTAATGCCACGTTTGGTCACTGAGATTACTAAATCGTGTCATGTTTAGTCACTCAAAAAATTTAATATCAATTTTGGTCACTCGAATTATTGAAACATGTCACATTTAGTCACTCTCCCGTTAATTTCCGTTCAACTCAATTAATGGAGTTGGACGGAGGCTAACGGGAGAGTGACTAAATGTGACCTGTTTCAGTAATTCGAGTGACCGGAGTTGGATGGTGGTTAACGGGAGAGTGACTGAATGTGACATGTTTCAGTAATTCGAGTGACGAAAATTGATATTAAATTTTTCTAGTGACTAAACATGACACAATTTAGTAATATCAATGACCAAATGTGGCATTTAGCCTGCCAATATTAATTTCCCCAATGATAGACCACTCCTCTTTTAATGCTCGACAAGTCCGCTGGCGGTGGAAATTAAGAAAAGAAAAAATATATATAATCTACCGATCACTCAAATGCAGTTGGGGAGATGGATACCAGATAGAACCAACCAATTGCAATCAATTGGTTCCCCCTTTCCTCTGCTATAAAAGGGAATGTTGTTCTCCTTTTCAGAATCATCCCTCTCTATTTCATTCCCTCCTTTCCTTTGTGCTTTGCTCCTGTTTGTATTTCTTTGTGGGTTTCGGTTGTGAAACGTTTTCACTTTTCACAATCATGGGTAGATAGGAGATTTCCTTGTGAGTGAAATAGTGAGATTGTTTGGGAAACACCGTGTGTTCTATTTCTTGTATCCATAAAATCTCTATAACCTACCATTGTTATAGTGAAGAAATACTACAAAGCTGTTGTTCCCATGGACTGGCCCTAAATCAAGGGTATACCACGTAAATCCTCGGTATCATTTACTTACTGTTTATGTTTGTTGTTCATTTGAGAATAGTCGTAGTATATTGCATTATTAAATTACTTAAGTAAATTGATCTAAGTAAGTTGGTTACCGTAATTCTTGAAGCTCTGTCACCATATCCAACTTACCTGTAAATTTTTTACAAGCGTGTAATTTATTAGTAAAATATATTTACCTACTATTCTCACCTTTGCGCCCAACAGGAGGAAACCCTCTTCGCCAATCATCCCTCAAGTGATATTTCTCCCCTTTTAGACTAAATTCATATATATTTTATGCAGGCGGAGCTGCGCCTTAGGGTTTTCACTTGATTCAACAAAGTAATTTAATCATTTAACTTCTATTTGGTTTATTAATTCCTTAATTTCAAACTAGATCAATTAAGTTCTTCCATTTTTAGGATATCTTCGGGTATCTAACAAATTTTTTTTAAATACGAATATTGATAGGTATCCACATTTTAGTTATTAAAATAGAATGCACCACAAAATATTGAAATGCATTATTCAATTTTTATATTTTTCTTATTTATATTGAATGTAATAGGAAATGTTTTATAAGGTTATAATAATTTTACTTCAGTTTTTTTAATAATTTGATTATTTATATTTTTCATTGTTTTTTCGTAACATATTAAGAAAACTCCGGCCCTCCCGGTTTCTAAATCATTGCTCTGCCCTTGATTTGATGAAATCTCAAAATTTGATAGAAATATTTACTATCTTTCCAACGTGCGATTACTAAATCTTAGGTGTGTATACGTATTGTTTGGTGATTTTCAAGTACAAACATATCCAGGACGTATTTTTGGAGTGAAGATATGGAGCACACAGAGCAAAGTCGAAAGTCAAATTGAAGAGGGACATATAGACTGTTTCAAACAATTCATGACAATATTTTTGACTAAGTTTGCAAGCACCAAACGTGTACACTCATCATAGGCACACTCTTCAATACTAAACATATTGAGGGGGAGGTGCTTAGAGATTTCTACAAGAGATGGATCTCGATTGTCATGGTTGTCAAAGACGTCAAACCACCAATGCTCGGGTGCTATTTGGAAGAGTGCACCACGAGTAAGGAGTTGTGTTGAGCACTTTCTAAAACATGTCGCTACCAAAAAAAGAACTCAACATAAGGGTTTAGAAAGTCATAATATTATAAGAGAGCCTCGTAGCTCGAAGAGCATAAAAGCAAAGGAATAAAACGGAGAAAGGGGAAGAGAGCATAATGGTGTGGTCAAGAAAGAAATAGAGGTGGGAATTGTCAATTTTATAAATTGACTAATAAAGACCGGTCATGCGAAATTTCAGTCCCAATGATAGGATAGTCTTAAATCTGAACTGACACATCGAATCGCATATAAATAATTGGATGTATGCAAAGACATTATTCACAAATCTCCTATCACATAATCTAACCATTGAGATTACATTTACAAGATATGATCCATATTCTAACCATGTTAGCCTATGTCTGACGCCAACTCTATCAACATGGTAGCAAAATCCCCATCATACGCCCAGTGTATAGTTTAGTTGCCCCCATTCCCCGGAAGTGGAAAAAAATTAAGATTATTGTGATTGTAAGAGCATCCATATCAATACAATTGCAAAGGCATTTATGCTTTTTTTTAGCGAGCTCATTCTTTCTTCTTTTTTTTTTTTGCAATCCACCTCAAATCACTTTCATTCACCTACATCAATGCAATAAACTTGCAATTGCATATGTAATTAAATATTATATTTAAATTATAAAAAGTCATAAGAGAAAAGAAAATAATCTAAAATAAAACTCCATTTTTTAGGTTTTTTTTATTTGCATATGCAATTGCATTTATTGTTGGACAAGAAGCCCTCTTCCAAATCAGGGGAGGCATTGTGAAGAAGGCTGGAATCGTTGGAGGTTAGGCCGAGTTTGGCGCCAAAGTTGGAGTTTAAGTTCTTTGAGTGTAAGTCCAAGTGAAACTGTGTCATTTGGATTATTCCAGTTTAGTACTTAGTTTTTTTAGTTAGATTAAATGAGTCGGTGACCGTTGTCAAACAACTTGAGCTAGTTTCAGTTGTTGGTTAGTCTTGTTGCAGATATGCAGGAGAGTGGGATTGAGGTCGTTTGTTTAAGGCCGATTCCCTTGGCATGTTTGTGTATTTATACTTTCTATTCATCAATAAAGAAAGCGTCAGATTGCAATACATTTTGGCTTTCATTTATTGCAAGCTTGCAAATATGCATTTTGGTAACCACTAACCACATCAATACAATTGGTTTTGCAATTACAAACAACCAAACACCCATTACATGTTATCTTGCAATTGAGATTTCAATACTCTAACAAACATGCCTTAAAAATCGGAGCCTTATAGTTTTCTTTCTCTTTTCCAAGGAAAATTCAAAGTTTTGAGTTTTTAATTAGTCTTTGTTTAACTTCCACCAAATTCGCTCCCACTATTAGAGACTCGTTCAGCACCCCCCTCTACCCTCCCAAAACTACTTTCTTTCTCACTTTCTCAATCACCATCATCACAACCATCACCATCACCAACGCTAACAAACAAAACACATAAAAAAAACCAGAAGAAGGAGAAGAAGAATAAGAAATGTACCTTGTTTTGAAGGAGGGTTGATGCCAAGGCAGGAGCCATGACACTGAAGGGTGGCACAAGCCACTCCTGCGCAGCGTGCAAGTACCAGCGACGGAAGTGCACATCGGAGTGCCAGCTAGCCCCCTACTTCCCAGCAAACAAGCCGGAGATGTTCCGAAACGCCCACAAGCTATTCGGCGTAAGGAACATCGTCAAGATAATAGAGAAGCTAGATGGTCCCCAGAGACAGGAAGCAATGCACTCCATCATATGGCAGGCAAACATTCGTGACCTCTACCCTGTTCAGGGTTGCTATGGCTACATATGCCGCCTACAGTACCAGATTCACCAAGCCCAGGAGGAGCTCCATGCGATCCACGCCCAGCTCCACATGTACCGTGACCACCACCACCACGGTCTCGATGCCACGACAGAGGACGTGGTTCCTTCCTCGCACTTGGAACTAGGAATGGCCCCTCCTATAAGTAACAACAATAATGCAGCAGCCCTTACCCTGTTCGATCATAACCAGCCTTGTGCGGCGGCAGGAGTAATGGCTCAGTTGTCGTCGTCTCTTGTAACTGCCGATCAACAACAGTTGTCCTGCTCCACGAGCAGTAACCCTCCTGGGGGATACAACTACAATTCCGGTTACTTTGATGTTACCAAGGAAAATAATAGCAACAATACTAATAATAATGCAACCAGCATCCAATTCATTCTGGCTTCAGCATACCTATGGTATCCACAACAACATTAATAATGTCACCAATTCTTCATCATCCATGGGTGCTCTTCATTCCCAGTTGTTAGTAGCACAACCACTTGATGGTATCCAACAGGAAGTTGTACAGGACTACGATGAGATGCATCTGTTTTTCGATACAATTGACGACACACAATCGTACATTGATTCCAAAGAGGCTTATGATACAAGGTACAATATTCATCTAAAGATTGCTTCTCATCATACAAAGTTTCTTACCCTCTCTATATATTTATATATATATGGTTAGGAAATGAAAATGAAGTGAAATATTTGTGTGTTTTTCCAGCTCGGAAGAGTCTCTCAAGGACACTACACAGTCCCTTGAGCAACATCTAGTGGTAGAGGATGAGCTGAAGAGCGCGGCGGCATGCTTCAGTCTCACAAGTGTCAACTGATCATATATATAATCAATTAGATAAGTAAAAGACAAAACAAGAATCTATAAAGTATGCAAATTAAATGAAGCCTTCATGCAGAATATAAATTTTCTCTATCTTGGTTTCAAGGCTCATTCAATTCTTTTATCCATCATCAAATCACATGCCTTTCATCATTTTCAATTGGGTGCATTTTTTGACAATCTCTAGGGGTTTAGTTTCTATCTCTTTTCAACAGATTGTAGATTCTCTCGTTATTTCTTAGACATTTGTAATTGTTTTTTTAGAAATTTGATTATTTGGTAGTTGAAAAATGAATGCATTCATAGTTAGTCCATACATTGTGAAGATATATAGCAATTGTCTCCTAAGGATTACTGTTTCGCTACTTTGCCACAAAATTTGCATCATTGAGTGACACTAGTGAAGTATCAAACGGCTGTTAAAATACAACCAACCACTTCTGACGTTTGGTTGAGGCAAGGCAACCTGAAGCATTTGGACTGATTATGATGGATAGTTTACGTACAAAAAATAGAAGCACTATAAGCAGAGTGTAACCATATGCTCGTATGGGAAGACTGCTCGTAATCATTGGACATGAATCCTAACAGCAGACTTAGCACATGTTTGTTTCACATACTATTGGCTTTGAGCATTCTTGTCATTGTGCAAGATCAAGTGGCAGACAAAGAGAATTCTGTGCAAGTTCAGACTTCAGTGTTTAAATCACAGCACCTCTGAAATGAAACGTTTTGAGAAAGATTGGCAACGGCGGGGATGAGGAAGACGAATGTGTCTCATCTTCAAATCCATCTTCTTGCTTCCTGGCTGGCTCATCTATATCTTTCTACATATGTTGGTGAAGTCAAATAGGAAGGAGTTTTTTAGAACTGGATATATAGAAGGGGGTTTGATAGGGGAACGGACCAGGGCAGTAATCTTATGGTCAGTAACCATCTATAACCCGTCCACATCAGTATCCCTCTCTCTCTTGGAAAGTTTTTTATCTTTTCCCCTTTAATCTTTAACTGACGATTTCTCTCTCGTTTTAAGTCGAAATTTGAATTTTTTTGCACAGATAAATCAGATTAAATGTGATCTTTAAAGTGATATACACTTTGATATATTTTTAGTACAAAAAATTGAATAATTTTGTACCAGTCATTACCATATGGTATGCTCCTCTTTAATACCATATGGTAAGAAAGCGTACCATGATGGTATGAACATACCAATATGGTAAGAAGGTTGAATACATGATATACTGACTGTCATTTACGACTTTCATCATTGTTTACTACAAGTTACCACCCACATACCATAGTGTTAAAGTATGATAATTTTTGGTCCAGTAATTTTTCACCCAGAAATTTGTAGATCCAACAGATCATGATGAACTCGTTCCTTTTGAGCAAACATTTTCAAAAACGACTTAAAAACGAAGAAGTTACCATATGGTATGTAGTTGGTAAAAAAAAGTTTATCGAAATATATTGAAAATTGATCTCATTTTGTAGAGTACAACGAGCTTGTTCCATCTGTGCAAAAAAAAATTGAAATCTGAGTTAGAACGAAGAAGATAAGAGCCGATTATGAAAACTAGGGAAAATAAAATGCCTATAATTGACAACCCTTAGAACTGAATTTTCTGAGTCCACTTAGATCTAAAGGTCCAGATTTAGTTACTCATAGATCAGTAACCAATGGTTACTGACCCTATCCTAAGCCAGAGACAGATATGGAGATTTGGGTTTTTTAGTTTCTGATTTGGGCGAACTTTGGGTTTGGTGAGAATGGGTTCCAGATTTTTCAGATTACTTTTTTTTACCAATTTTATTTTCTTATTAGATAAAGGAAATATGAAAATAATATGAACTTTTTTATTTGGTGCTGACATGGCAGTGAGCTGGGTCGCCGACCGTTAGTTAACAGTGTTGACCATCCAAATTGACAGTCAAAATATGTTTCTTACTTGGTTTAAGAAATTACTATTATACACTATTATACTAAATAATAGGATAAGGTATTAAGTTGGTGCTGGCATGATTTTTTATTGTGTCTTTGTTGATTATTGAGTATATAATATCAATTTCTAAAACCACATGCTAGAATAGGATATTAACGTTTTTCATATTTCCTTCTTCTTCCTATTCCTATTATTTCCTTCCTCTATTACTTTTAAATTTTAATTGCACAATAATCAACAAAGACACTTTCTAATAAAGAAAAGGGTAAAGTCTTAATTTTCTTCACGACCATCTTAAGAAAATCATATTCTTATTTTTTTTATGGTTCAATCACTAAATTTATACACTCATAATAGTCATATTTTAATTTTTTTATAACTATATAAATTATTGTGTTTGTGTCAATAGAAATATATAATCTATAATGTGTATATATATTATAAATAAAAACCAGCGCCGCTATGCTTATAACCAACGCGAAAATTTATAAAGATTAACATGGTACAGGCCAGGAAAACACTACATCAATATCTAACTCTTAAATGAAACCGCCAAATCCATGGAGAACAAGATCCATTTCATATAAATTCTTTTAATTTGATTGAGTGAGATTTTTCATGTACATTTTTTTGTAATATTTTGTTTACAAAATTTACAAAATTCTATAATAGATAAGTATGGCGGAAAAATCGTTCATTTATTATAGTTTATGGCGATTTATTTAAAACTTAGGGCATTAAATAGAAGTTCATTTTTCTTTTCTTCGTTTGATCGTTATGATCGTCTCTTATAAGGGGTCATGTTCCTCCCTTTAACTCGCTTTCAGAGCCTCTTTGCTCCAGTCATCCCTAGACATAACTCTCCAACATCATCACGATGAGACACAACCACCATCTTACTTGTTGGCAGCTTTGCTGTCATAGCTAGGCTAACACTCTTAAGAGCTTGTATAACTTCCTAAAATTCCTCCCCATAGGGTAAAACATCTAGCTCAGACTGCACTAATGCGGAATTATGGACTTCCAAAATTACCACCTCTGCTACCGGCAAAGCCTCAATTATACCTTGCACAACCTCAACATGCTCTACACATACCTCTGCAACCACATTAGCCATAATCGACGAGACTTCTTCTTCTCCCTTCACATACTCAATGTGCTCTACACATACCTCCTGATTCTCGGTAGCCACCACTTTACTTTTTGGGACCCATATCCTCTTTGTTCTCCTCATTCGCTTACCACAATCATGACCAAACCTATTGCACTTCCGGCAGCTCAAATGAAATTTTTAGTATCAACTACTACTTCAAACCCCGAGCCATCACCAGGAACTAGGTGAATCATAGTAGGACACTTAGACTAAGTATCACTCTCTACACAACACTTCTCACAACTCATTTGCTCTCCTAACTTGGTAGATTGATCCGTACAGGAGGGCCTCTCAATCAAGACAATCTTACTCAGGCATTATGACAGGAAACATTCGATAAGCAAACCAGAGATCTTTATCTTAATAGGTCGTCCAGGTTTGTCTGGCTCCACAAGAGAGTGCCTACTTTAGCATCTGCCGTATTCTCTGAGTTGATCTTCTCAAGGATCACCTTAGCACCACTAGTCAATCGCACAAAAGATATCCATTTTCCAATGCACCATTGAATCACATCCCTAAGTGCCACTAGCTCCATAAATGCTAACTCCTTAGGTCCATCTATCCTTGCCTCCTATGGGTCTTCCGGTTGATTCCTACATCAGTGAATTAATAGATTATGAGACAGGTTTGTCGGACGATACTCTACTGGAGCATGCTTCCCGACGGACGTGGCCATGGCTATTCGCTAGATTCCCCTTCGCGGCAACAATGAGGAAGACAAGCTGATTTGGCATGAGAGCAAGACAGGGGTGTATACGGTCAAAGATGGTTACCATAGCTGGCTGGAAAAATTCCAAATTAACAATGGTGTGATGGCGGTTGGGGAGGCGAAGATGTGGAAAAAACTGTGGGGACTGGAAGTCCAACCGAAGGTGCGCCATTTCCTTTGGAAATTTGAAAGGGAGATTCTTCCAACGGGGGCTGTGGTTAGTAGTCGTAATCCACGGTGGAGCGATGCATGCCCATTCTGCAACCAACGAGAAACCCAAGTACATATCTTTTCATAGTGCGAGTGGGCATCCTGCATTTGGAGAAAGACGGAGGTGGCTGATCTATTCCTGGCCCGAGGCGCTGATTCGTGTCAAAGGTGGTGTGCTAAGGTTTTGGAGTTGGATTATACGGACAAGATCGAAGAATAATGTGTGATGCTTTGGTATCTCTGGAAGGAGAGGAACATTCACTTATTCAATGGAGCTAAACTACTCGAAGAGGAGATACCAACTTGAGCCAAGTATTTTTTAGTGGACTACAAACAACACAAAACCTCGGAAAACACCCCGGAGGATCGCGTCGAACGTCGGCAAAGGAGGAAGCCGCTGACAGGATGCATTTCAGTCTGCACTGATGCATGAATTCTTGACTCAGGAGGTGCGGGACTTGGAGTGGTGATCTGTGATGCTGCTGGGACATTCCTTCTTGCTGCTGCTAAGAGAATCAGAGGGAACTGAGGAGTTGAGGAAGCCGAAGCTTTGGCTGCATAAATGGGAGCCCAGCTTGCCTTTCAGTTCCACTACACTAATGCTATAATCGAGTCGGATTGCATGAGTATGATATACAAGCTGCAAAACCCGGATGTTATTCAAGATGAGGTGTGGGTAATATGTCGTAATATAAGGAGGCTAATATGGCAGCGCACTTGATGGCACATGCGGATACCGGTTGGGAGGAGATATTAATTTGGTTTGATCATCCGCCTAATTTTCTTATTAATTAGTTGCAGCAGGACATTGTAACCGCGTTATCTTATTAAAAAACACATCCCCTGAACTATCTTGCATAAACATCACTATTGTTGCATGGGAAGGACCACATAGGTTCCATAAAATGAACACACAACCCCTAGCAACAGAATCAAATGTTGATCCTTGATCAAATAGTCTCAAACAACCCCGGCAAAGCTTCCTGCATCCTTAGTGGGATGTGCCAACCATTCCTAGACCTACACCTTATATTGTTGCTTAAGTATGAGTGTGAGAAGTTGATTTAACTCACATACCACCTCATTACGGGCCTTCCAAATATGCCACATCAATGCCACCACTATAACAACTTTATATGGTGAGGAATCATGCCTTAAGGCTCGACGAAGGAAGATGGCCAAATTCCAAACCCTTAAGGCTGCTAACAGAGACTGTATTCCAGAGCTTTCCACAGGGTCATAGCCACAGGGCAAAAGATGAAGAGATGTTCCATCATTCCCATCTCCACCCAACACACGGGGTAGCGGGCTATAACATACACCTCCT